GAATTACATGTATATATGTACATGTATATACGATCATCGGTAAAAGCATTAAATGTTGAATGAACTGCGGAAACCGCCATCGAACGAAGGACGTAGCGTGCAAGGGTAATGCACTTTAAAACGTATCGAATATTCAGGATAGAAGGCCTCACTGAGTTCATCAAGTTTTACTTTAACCGTTCCTGTAATATGTAAATCATGTGTACGCGCAAAATTAAGATTGCTCCCAGGGGTGGCACCAGGATTTGCCCGACGTGGGGGGGGGGGGGGGGGGGGTGCGAGGTCCCCGACTAATATGTAGAAAATAAATATAATTCTTTTTTTTTCCCCGAAGGGGTTCTCCCCTCCCCCCGCCGGCGCCACCCCATGCTCCATGTGTATTGGCACCCGTATCCGAGGACTATATGTTACGTGTTTACATCTATCCGAGAACTATGTATTTTCGGTACAATGCTACTGTATGATGATTTGTCTGCTAAGTCTATTAAGTAATATATTAATACGTAGTAGACTAGCAGGCAAATACCGGTATTTTAAAGGTAAGAATGAAATTTTTTTTTTCGATGGAAAAAAAAATTTTCAGTTCATTGAGATAGATTTAAAATCCCACAAAACTCTGAATTCTTTTGGGAGGTCAGTGTTGATAAAATACTATTGCAACATGGTGCTTACAGTGTGTTCGTTTGAGTCACAATTCCTAAACAGAAGTGGCAGTTGTTGCTTCTTTTCTACTCCCCTAAAAATAGATAAAATAGCGTTACTCATGTACCCTGCTTTCCTTCCACGGTCATTGCCAGTTGACGTATTGTTGTCAGCATTTAGGTCGTTTGCAGTTGATAGGTCTATTATAGTTTAATATGAATGTATTTTTGTACCGGAATCAATGCATTAATCCAAGTTAATGTAAATAGCGTCAATGGAATCGTGTTTAACATTTAACCTATATAATCCGTCTCCTTAAAACATTGCAAAAAATGTAGTAGTTTTTTCCCACCGTAATAATAAAGTACAACAATTTGTTTGATTCGATGATAGTTTTTAGTTTGAACTTTGGGTCGAGTACCTATATCGGTTATTAATCTAATCTGAAAAAGTTGTAGTTTCGCACGCATTATTAGTAAAACCAACAAAAGACTTTGTAAGCGGGCCGTGGATATTACTTGGCCTATGTCTCAGAAATGCCAATGTATCTGTACATATCAAAGATATCACTTTTGTTTACCGTATCTGAAATTTGGACTGATCAACATAGAAACGAGAACTGATCAACATAGAAATGTTTCCCCCTTAACAATTATAAACATATACCAAGATAATGGATTTCGGGAATCTAAGTTGATTGTTAGTGCTACACCTTATCGCTAAATGCTACATACATGCCTATATACCGAATAAATAAAAATGAATAAATAAACGGGAAACGTTAAAGCAAATTAATCACATAATCATTCGTGGATTCGACTTCAGAAGGAAATACAAGTGGTGAGCAAGTGTTATTAGAGAAGTTAATCAAATTTGCTTACATGCCTAAATAAGAGAACGTTGGTAGAAGTGGAACCGAGACCGGAATAACCCTGCTTACGGCAAGCGGAGAAATACTGGAACCGAGACCTACACTACATAACCCTGCTTAAGGCATCAAATAAATAGTTTAATTACATTTTTATGACAACTGTTTTGCTTTGCAGAACTTGACGTCTCAATCTGACGTTTACTGTATCATTTAGTCAGTCAACGTGCAACTCAAACGTCTTGTAAAAAGAAAAAAAAAGCGTTTGATAGCACACTTTATTTTTATATGCCACGCTTAGGTAGGCTGATAGAATTTAAACCAAAAATACGTCAAAGTGTACTTTAACCTGGGGGTTGTTTTCACTAGTACCGTAGGCCTATATTATTGCAGTATGTGGTATTTTTTCTGTAAACATAAGCTTTTCTAAACCATCTTTCGACGACTCTATTTACTCTCTATATGCTCGAAAAATAAAAATAAAATCCTCCCATCTTTGATTCGGCTCATTTACCCTTGTATTAGCTTCTGTCAGAGTAGATAATTGCTAGACAATTTTGACAATACACATTGAACTATCATCTATAATAGATCAGTCAACTTTTCCAGGATCTTTTGTTGTCGTTTACCGATGTGTTTTTAGTTCACCAAGTTAACACTTAAGATGACAGCCCCAGCCTGTGTGAAAACAACATTGATTGAAGCACAGAATACCATCAAAACACTCGCTTCGAAGGTTAACGTATTTCCGGTCTTCAGTGTTTTTTCACCGTCCCTTGTAACATGTATAAAGCGAAGTTTGTCGCGATTAAATGCCGCTGAAGAATAAATTAGATCACGCCTAAATGAGTTCATTTTTAAGGGCATTAGTTTGGTTTTGGGGTGTTAATCTTCATTTATGCAGTTATTTAGAAATGTAAAGCTCGTGCCTATAAGAAACAAACATGTTCAGAAACAATACGCCTATGTAGTTTCTTAAAATTGTATTAATCTAGATGTATCGTTATGCTTTTAAATGTTTATCATTATAGTAAACTGAGGGCGCTGGGCTCACAGGCCAGGGAGAAAGCCATATCTCTTTTTTCCTTGCGTTTGACAATTGTGCAAGGCTGCGGGGGATCGCCACTCCCGCACAACGAGTCTGGTTCCTTCCAATCCATGCCAGTATGGAGGTACATTATTTGTCAAAAACACAAGCGACTCGCACATCGTGGGTTTCGAACTCGAGCCTCAAGTTTGAGAGTCCAAGCGACTATCGTTGCGTTTCTACCGCTTATTTAATGAGTGTGGTGATTTTCCATTGCGGTAATTTTAGGTTGAAAGATCAATATTTATATTTTGAAACTTAAAAACTACTTCAGTATTTTCTTTTCACTCTCGATGAGTCTTTGGGTAAATTTTAACTTTCTATTAACTTTACTTTTTACCCCCTTTTTGTTATATTGTGGAAGGTCTATAACGCATCGACTCTAATAGGCCTCATCTGCAACCACCTATCGGAGCTTTGAACTTCGTATTTTCCCATCGGGACGCTTCAGTGATAATTGCTGCTTTTATATCTGCGACATAATCAAAGACGGCCATGGTAGAATTGAGGATGACAAAAGAAATGTCACTATTACCGGAAACCCCTTCAGTTTTGATGTTTATATTGAAAAATAAAAACGGGAATTGGGTCTAGTTATATGGGTAAACCAAAGGTTGTGTATTATGTGGAGGGCAATGTACTTTGCTTCTACTCGCATAATATCATAATTTATACCGTCATTTTTTTTTTCGATTTAACGACTAACAGTTCCGCCGAAACATAATGTTATATGCCTACTTAAACGAGAAAATATGGATACGTAGTAATTTTAAATTTAGGCCTAGAGTTGAAATTATTAATCCATTTGGAAATTAATTCAAATCCACATAAATGCGTTTCATGTACCCGACTTTCTATTCTCTTGTGGAAAATCCATATATAGAAATGTTATAAGGATTTGTTTCTCTCCAAATGTCACGAACAATTTCTCTTTAATTTGGCTTATTTGCAAATGATTATTACGAATGAAGTTCTGCCAACCGTAGTTCATTGGCACTTATAGGTATAATAGTTTTTACCCCGTATGTTCATTATTTTATTTGTCCGATCTTATGCGTTATAATTAGTACTGCTGACGTCGTTGGGAATAGTAAAATTAGATAATAATATAATTAGTAGACTCGTGTTCCCATGAACCAAAACAGAATAAAATCATCTACCGGTATGAAGTTTACTTGAGGTGTCCCACTAGGCCAATGAAACTGCGTTTGATTTATTGTCTAAACTACTAATGACAGTATGAACGAAAAATCAATATTCATGATATCTACTACAAGTTGGATTATCGTTATTATTTCTTAACTCGATAATTTCAGACGTTATTGTTGTTAATATCATTTCTTGTTATGCTATCGACATTAACCTAATTCGCGGCTACCCCGTTTCTTGATGCAGTTATGGAAAGGTAAAGAAAATGAGGACGTTGATCAATTGACACTCGGGAAGGTATACCTTGATCTTACCGACTAATAGTAATGGTAAGGAGAAGTGTAACCTCATCTATTGGCTTGGAACAGATTTGTAGAACACGAGGGTCGATAGACGCGGCAACGACCGCCTAATGTCGTTCGCTCCATTGCGCTATGATTGATTCTTGCTTCAAGCTAAGTTTGTGTATTCAGAATCATCAGAGCGTTTTCTACCAGCCAAGTTCAATGACTTGCGACGCTTTCGAGTATTATATGAAGGACTAATTTGAACAAAAATTGAAATGTCAACACGCCGAAGGGCAGGTGAAGACTCGAAAAATATCATTCACTCTGACAATAAAGGGAAGAATAGAGGACTGCGCTTGAGGTTGAGATCTTCACATAGGGATCTCGCTGCAAGTATTTCCTCTGATTTAATTGTCGCTACAGTATCAATCGCTGTATGGAAGGCACTGCGAATCATTTTGGCGACGGCCTTTTTTTTTGTTGCTGGCAAATGTTTGAAGATCTGATCATGATCTGATCAACCTAGCAGGAGATAACGCATGGCCACCTTCGATTGCTTATTACCTTATTACACATCAGCATGTTTGTTTTTCCAATTATAATATTTTGTCAAATAGTGTAGTCAGTAATTCTGAGAGTTCGTTGTTAAAATCAAGTAAATAGGGAGGGTCCACAAGCTTACGAAAACGATCACGAATACGGTTACGTCATCAAATTTTTAGTTGATCCATCCCATAGAGTAGCATATCTGTCACAACATAGGCATATGCCATCCATACGTGAATCAACGTTCATATTCAGTCCGTATGTATTTTCAGGAATGTCCTACCCACAAATGAATCACGATGATGAAGATGATGTGTATTCGTGTTTGTTACCGTTTCGTAAGGTTGCGAAATCTCATTATTATACACTACGTAATGACGTGGAGAGAATCGACTTCATCTAGATATTAATACAGTAAACACTGGTTTTAGGGCTGCGTTCACGACCGTCGCACGATGAATCCAACTCCACTCCTGTACGTGAGCGCTAGACGACGCGACGCCACCTGCTGACTGTCGGTGGTCGTCTGAACGGATCGTCTTAAAAAGCAATCAGTTGCGCGCGCGTCGTCGCGTTGCGTTCTTCATAGAATCGCGTCGGCCGACGACCATTTTGGGCGCAGTGAGTGACCGGCTTTACAGTCATGACCTTTCTCCCCCTTTTTTTTTATTTACCTTCACGCTGATCCCCGTCAATAGGGCGTCTACGTTCAAGGCATATTTTGGAGCATCTCAACCTTTGGATAGGCTCATTGTTCCAAACGAAGTGTTCATCCGATTTTGCATGTACAATGAATGCTTTTCGACAGAGGCTGTCGTCGTTCATTAGCTGAAGACAAACGTACTCCAATTTCCTTGAATTTAATACAGTACATCGAAATTAGACTTTTGTTGTGGATGCATTGAATAGTAATTGCGAAGGATTTAAAACGCTATTCGCCATGTTCTACTTATTTAATCATCCTGTTGTTACGGTGAGATGCCCATGACGGTCGCGCGACACCGCAAAACAACCACGATAATACCGCAAACCGCGTTGCTGACCCCAGCCGTAACATCTGTTACTACGTGACCCCCTGAAATAGGGACAATGCTAATATGGACTGCCAGTGTTACGGTAAACGGATAGTAAATATTTTTTCCCGTGATAATTTGTTCCGATTGAGGGCGGTGTTCACATTAAACAACTCTCTCTCATGGTTCGAACCTACCGCGTAAAGGTCGAACATTCATAATTCACCACAATCGTTCTAGCAAAATTGAGCCCCATGGTAATCGCCGGCGACAAGGTAATCTTAAGCCGGGAACTCACTGCGACAAATCCAACTCCGCTCCCTATGAGCGCTAGACGACGCGACGCTGTCTGCTGATTGGCGGTGACAATCTGAACGGATCGTTTTTTAATGACGATCCGTTGCGCGCACCAATGGGCGCAGTGAGTGCCCGCCTTAAGGTACATCTAAATTGACTTCCAGTTGAGGTTCCTCGCACATCTGCACTTGGGCGCATAATTTCGCTATCTTGTATGCTACAAGAAGTAGAATGTTCAAGGGTTCTATTTTGGTGTTAAATTTTTTTAACGTGGTACCCGGTAGCATTTGTGGATAATAACGAAATGAGGCATTCTGAAAGGAAAGGTTCTCTGCGGCGGACGTGATAAGGTTTAAGTTTAATAAGGAACGAAAAATGTATGCTTTACGGAAATTCTTATTGGTAATGGTACACCCATCAACACTTATTTGCCGGTATTTTTTTGAACAAGATTCTAAATATAATCATTTGTTTATATTTACGCAGGAACAAGATGCTGAAACCGAGCCACGTGCGCCTAGCGGCATCTCGAGTCATCGCTCCGCGTCCGAATCCAGCATGTCACGTCTGCAATCGCCGTAGCAAGAGCATGCCGGCTATCGAGACGCTCCAGGGTCCTGAAACGACATACGGCAATGCGCTGACGCAAACCATGAAAGAAAGTGTTTGCAGCCTAACGTCGAACAAATCTATAGGCGAGTCAACAGTGAATACGGAGGTGAAAAGCTATGATGAGATTCCAGGACCAAAAGGATGGCCCATCATTGGGTCTTTGTTGGACTATACTTATGGTAGGCCTTTATGATAATCACAACTGATTAATTGCTGCACACAACCATAATTTCATTTTGATTTCCGTAGATGAGAGAGCTCATACGGCAGGTTTACTTCATAATTTAATGAAAACGTAAAATTAACATTGTGTTTGTTTGTGTATCTAGGGCCTTACACTATGGAGAAAATGCATTTGGCAACAATCGATAGATTTCGAACTTACGGCAAAATTTACAAGGAAAATATAGCTGGACAGACAGCAGTACACATATTAGAGCCTAAAGATGTGCAAAAGTTATTCCAGTCTGAGGGCGCTCGTCCAAAACGGCTCAAACTCGACCCAATGATACACTACAGGAAACGACGAAAGCAGAATATTGGGTTAGCAAACATGTAAGTTGAATAACATTTTCTAAATAACTGGAACAAATTGAACCTTGAAATACTGTACTATTGTATGCATTTGTCTTATCCAGCATTTGTCGACTTGGTAGGCTCTATTCTTAATACTTTATCCCAGATTAACTTAGTATAAAATGTAGCTCTTCACATCCGAATTTTAATCTAATATATTAACTGAAATTTAAAACATTAGAAATTGTGGTTCCTTTGTGATCGAACGTTTTGTACCTTTGTATATTGACGGCGCTAGCAATTTTTAATATTGCTTATTTTATATTGCTCGTAAATAATTTGTTTCTTGCTTATATTTTGTCATAGTGAAGGTGAAGACTGGATAAAATTGCGACGACCTCTGAACCAGACGATTATGAAGCCCAAAACCATGGAGTCTTATTTACCGACTCTCGATAGCGTTGCGAGCGACTTCGTCGATCATATGAAAAGAATGATTGGCGAGAATGGCGAAATAGACGGATTTTATATGGAAATTTACAAATGGTCATTAGAAAGTAAGTCATCTCAATAATAGACCTTTCTGGAGTGTCAATCAAACTTAACAAACTGACCAATCAGAACAGTGCCAGGAATACGCGCGTATCAACACATGAGTTGTCCCACAAACGCACGTGTGTGCGTATGTTTTTACACTGTCGTTTTGTGGGACCTTGGCAACAATATCCTTCGGGTGGTGCTTGGCTGAAAGGTCCATTCAAATAATTTAGGCCTATTTGTAAAAATAGAGAAAATTTAGTTTATGTCTGCATAAGCAACCATACGGGTAAACTACCGAAGTCTGTCTTCAGGTCGTGTTAGTAATATTGGTATTGGTTTTATTTTCTGTAGACTCCTGGGCAGTTGTATTTGATGAGAGACTGGGCGGACTTCGCATAAAGCTGGAAAATAATTATTTGGCGAAAAATGTGATTCAATCTGTAATGGACTTTTTCGTGGGCTTACGAGATCTTACGTTTGGTTTACCCTTATACAAACTCAACATACCTACCTCGACGTGGAAAAGGTTTGCCGCGGCACAGGATTATGTTTTCGAGTGAGTTTGCTTAATTTTGCTCATCTGTATGTTTAATGCACACCGCATTATATCATAATAGTGCCGATTATCTTTCTATGTTCATTTTTACTACTAATTAATACGGTAGTTGTTATTGAATTGTTTATTTGAATTATTTGTACTGTACATATTATGTATAGACCTAAAGCAATGTTTTCTTTGATTCAGAATTTCCAAAAAAAGAATACAAGAAGCATTACAGGAAGAAAAGACGAGTGAAGAAGCCGGGTTTTTGGAATCATTAACATCACATAAAGACTTCACACTAGAAGAGTTGACGCTTCTTTGCAATGATGTATTAATTGGGTCCCTGGACACTGTAAGTCCAACCACTGTTCGTTAATACTTTCCTTTAAACTTAAAAACTTATGCTCTCTGCAAAACTAATGCATCAAAGCGGCCGAAAAGATTTGTTTTCAACGCATTTCAATTTTTTTTTCATTATTGTTGGTGACTCACAACAAAAGGCTATTAGTCTGTTGATGACCTGGGCTTAACTATCAACACCTAATTATCGCTTATAACACCATGTTAGCAAGGGACAGTTAATTAAGAGGTCAGATTTACTATATGACTGGGCCTGACGGTAAACGACAGGCGGAAACAACTACAGACTGGTCAATCACCATCTTTGTATTTTGAACATAGGGCCAGCTTTATCAAATCTTGCTGGATGAATTTATGTTGATTACATTTCCTGTAAGACCAGGCAAACGCTAAATAACGTTAAGAAATCTGCAACTATGATCGATGTTTTCGTGACCTTTGAACATTACATAATTTAGCGAACATTAGGATTTTCATACCTTTTTCTATCGTTCTTCCAGACTTCTCACTCGGTAGCTTTCAATCTGTACACCTTGGCGAAGAACCCCGAGGCTCAAGAGAAACTGTATCAAGAGGTTATCAACATGACAGACAAAGACGAACCAATACGCTCAGAACATTTCCAAAACATACCTTATATGAAAGCATTTGTCAAAGAAACCTTTAGGTAATAACGCCCAATACTTTGTAAGCTAACTATAAAAAAAAAGTATGCAACATTGGCAGCTAATTATTCTCAAAGAAGCATTGTAAATATTAGCAGGAAAACACATTTACTTCAATTTTACATTTGAAATGGATTTTCAATTAATGAGCAATCTATTTAAACGGTTGTGACCAAATCAAATAATTAGAATGAATTTGCCGTTTGCCAAGGACTGAATCATAGCCCGGTAAACTTGTCCCGCCAAGGGCTCCAACAGCCCAATCACAGTTTTGTTTTTGGAGCGCTAACCTAGAACCTTCGCTTTCGATCATGCTTCTGAGAGGATACGAGTGGCCCCACAGGGAAAGGTCGATTGAGATTACCTCTCAGTTGGGACAATCAATCGCCAGAACAAATGCATTTTATTACAGAAAAAAAAACTTCAGAAAATAGCAACTGAAATGCACAGGATGTCCCTGATTCGTTGATATGTGGTGACCTAACTGAGACTGGTGCACAAAAAAAAATGTAGCACGATGGGGTATCGCACATAAATAGGTCAACTATATTCAGTACAACTTTTATGAACTATAAACTTCTTATAAAATTATCTATTTGTGGAACCTATTAGTTTTTTTAGGAATCTACCATATTGTTTTATTCTACAAAATAATAATAATAACAATACAAAAGTGTATTATAAATATCGTATAATACAAACGCATCTAGTTGATTAATTTCGTTTCTATTTTTTTCTTTCTGCAAAATTATAATACCGTCATATTAAGTATTTCTTAGATAATATGATTTGTATTCCATAAAATAGTACTGTATTTAAAACTAACACTTCATATTTTGTTATCCAGAATGTTACCAACGACGGATGGCACAAGTCGGAAACTGGACCAAGATATTGTTTTGAGCGGATACAATATCCCAGCAGATGTAAATATTTAAAATTTGTCTTAATAAAAACAATTAGTCGATTCTCTTAATCTTTTACTGATCAAATTCATCTGTAATTTTTTGTATAATTCATGACAATTGTGAAAGGTCCGTTTTAACAAACTCTGTCACATTATAATTTCCCGTATCACTTTCATACTTAAATTTGTAAAAAAAAAAAAATTGAGTCACTAGTGTCTTTCAAGTTTTCAATTAAGAGCTAATCCGGAAGGGACTAAGCAATTTTAATACTACTGTATAATATATTTAAATTACATCTTAAAGGGATTTTTTTAGAGCAACACAGACATTTAAATAATACAATTAATACTTTTTAGACCTTAATCAGAGTACATATGGTGGCTGGAACGATGGAAGAGTATGTGGAAAACCCAACAGAGTTTCGCCCTGAAAGGTGGTTGAGGGAATCTGAATCAAAGATAGATCCTCATCTGCTGTTGCCTTTTGGGCACGGACCACGCATGTGTGTTGGCAGACGGTTCGCAGAAAACGCCATCTATATGTTGTTAGCAAAGGTACGGGTAATTTTATCACAGAAACCAAACTTTGTAAAACATTTATTGCAAAATATATTTAAAAATATTTTAACCCTGGCTATTTATTTGTAACCGGTTTATAATATACAACGCTTGTAAATTTTACAGTTGATTGCATTGCTAAATGTAGGCGTACTCTATTTCTCTAGCCTGTTTCAAACCATTATAGTAATACTAAGCCTAATTTATTTTTACTTTATACCCTAATGTGTTGCATTACATATATTTTAATCATAAACATACATATTTTTCATCAAAAAATTCCGAGTTCATAATAATCACATTTAAAATTAATAACATTATTTTTTTGAAGAGTAAAATAATACAGTACATCTGAATTACCAATTCATTATTACTAAATGCGAACATTTGGCTTTTTTGGTACGTCATTTTGACGTACATCATAACATATAGGCCTATACCTATACACATATAAAATACATACACTACATTGTCTCCAGTCGGTTTTGGGACTTTCAAACGAAAGCCCCAATGGCCCAGTTGGTTAAAGCCAGGCTCCAGAGTGAAAACAATTGTTAATATGTTGTACTCAAAAAGGATGTTTGACGAAAAACACGGGAACGGTTAATATATACAGATATTTTAATATTTAAAAACTGGGGGAAATGTTGGAAAAATGGTGTTTACACCCTTTTCTTACAGTTTTTAAATAGACCTATACAAAAATATTTTTTACCGTCAAATATAATTGTTGTGACTTAGAAAATTTAGTTGTACAACATATCAACAATTGTTTTGTTCATAGAGCATTTACACACACATATTATTTTTTCTAATATTTCAGATTGTAAGGCAGTTTAAAGTTGAGTGGCATCATGAGGACATGGACCTCCATTTCAGAATAGTTAACACTCCCAGTGTTCCTCTCAAGTTCAAATTCGTCGAGCGAACGTAGTAAAAAATTTTGATGCAAAATCATTAAAGAAGACAACAAAAACTTTATAAACAATAAGAAATTGTGCCCCTCGATTTACAATGAGTTTTTCCTGAACTTTGACATGCTTTCTACAATGGTATGGATCGCACGCGATACACCCAAGGTTATTATGAACAATGCAAAAAAGTTACCTGTTGCCTGAGACAACTAATAGAAGTTGTATAGTTGTCTCAGCTGTTGCTAAGCCATTTTTCGTTGAAGAGGCAGAAAAGCTTTTTTTTTTATTTCAAAACAAAATACGTATATGTTACTTAGAGTTTGTTTTTTGAGACCAAAAATTGTAATTATTTTCAAATAGATATATAAATGAGTTAAGTCATTTCAGTATTAAAGCAAATATTTATATGATGGAAGATAAGGTGAATAAACGAAAGTTACAGTATTTTGTTGATGAGGCAGTTCCATGTATGTACGCCACGCGTTACGTTGACTGTGGCAGTACATACAGGGCAGTAGGTGTGTCTTGATATTGGTGAGCTTTCGAGTGGCACGACGAAGTGAACGTATAACGGATTCACCCATCCGTGACCGTCCTGCGTTCTCTAAACAACGTAGTCGCATGCACAGATGACTATATATGACGTCACTACGGTTTAAGTCTGATCGTTGTCGTGCAATCGAAAGCTTCCTATTAAAACTATGCACTAAATAACAGACGCATGGAAGGAAAGCTGGAGATTGTTTTTTTTTATTATTATTATTTTTTTTTTTTTTTATAATACATTTTCTTTATCCAGCAGGGTAAATCCTAATTTTTCTCAACTATAGCGCAAATATTTGAGAGTGCAGCTTTAATACACCAATCTACTTTCCCCCTGGTTTTTCGGGAGGTTTGACGTAGATTAAAATTTATTCTTAATCGTATGTTGTATATATTGTTTATATGTGAATTACAAAAAGTTTTTTTTAGTAAAATAAAGTAATCAGAATGTATATTTTGCTTTGGTTTTTATTGAACAATAGATTTTGAATTAATTTTTGAGTTCCAACATGTGAACATAAATGATGTTTATATGAGGTTGGTTGGTATCACGAATCGCTTTAACAATTATTTTTTAAAATATATATATATTTATTCGTTGTAACATATATAAGTTTCCTCTGTAATTTTTGTTACCAAAGGCCCATAGTCTATAATACTTATTAAAAAACAAATATGTATGCACTGTATGCGCCTTATTCTATTATAATTTTGATTTGCGACGGTATAATCATATTGAAATTAGTTTATCACATATATATCCGGTGGAGAATTATATAAAAAAAGTTTTTGTTCAGTGTTAATTGATAAAAAACACTTTGTGACTATAATCATGTCTAAATATAACTATTATCTGTTTTTGGTGTTTCTGAAAATTTAATGAATATAATTCTCAGATTGGGTAGTTTTCTTTATTGCTAATACTTTTCCATGATGGTACGTACAAGCATTGTATTTATAGTTACGTTATGTAAGTATTAATCGGTAAAAGTTATTATTCACCAAGACTATTCTTGTTACTTGTAAAAAAATTAAAAATTTCAAGGACGATGGCTTTAATATTACATTCCTAAAACGTGATTGGATGAAGTAGAGATGTAACGAAATGTTACGGGTGAGAAATAAAACAAAACGTGAAATATCTAACGAAACTCAACCGAGTCCAGACAGTAGTTCCATCATGTTGTTTTCAATGGATATATGCTAGATGTGATACAAAGACATATTTTCATGATATGTTCTTATTGTATTTACGTGTTTATATTATTATGTGTATATTATATATATAATAATAATATATTATTATGTGTATAATACACACACTGTGTATCATATATATACTGTGTATATATATGATACACAGTATGTATATTAATATACAGTATATGTATATATGTATATTCAATAGAATATAAATTATATTTATATATGCTATTAAAGAATCGCAATAGGCATGCAATGTGCAGTTGAAATGACGGCATACAAACTTTGTGCCTGGCCCATTATAACAAAAACGGCAGGTTGTTTAACATCTGATGGTATTCGTAGCTAAGCCAAAGCTGAATTCCAAGTTAAATACAGAATCGATAGGCCTATGTATGCATGTACTGTACATCAATCACATCCCGGACTCCGCAAAAAATTAAAATTTTGATCGGAAACATTCGATTATAAAGGAGTAATTTTCGGTATGTCAATATGCGTACAATTTGATTTTAAAATATTTTTGCTGTGTTTGAAACTTTTAAAATATGTTGATGTTTGCCTGAATTCTTGCAGTGCTATTTTTTCGATGTCGAATAGCATGTCGAATAGTATTGTCCATACGTAGACGTCATAACAGTATTCGTGACGCGACACATACAGGTTGATGTTTGCGCACGCTCAAATGTGTGGCTATGCTGCCTTCTCGCGATTTAGATAACATAACTGTAAACACGTTAACACCTCCTCTTTACCTTGGTGTGCCGCATATTGGAACTATTGTTTACAATTTTGAAATAATAAATTGGATTATTATTTGTCAGATGCGATTGAATTTTGTTTGATTTCTCCAAAGTTCGGTTTACATTAATTGCCTTAAACCAAAGATAATAAATAGCAGAAGATAGAGCAGCTTCCCAATAGTGGAACATCCGTTCCAAAGGCATTGTGGGTACACGGAGAGCAATTTTACCCCGTCCGCGCTATATAGAAATAATAAACATCAATAAAGGCGCCGCTCTGGTTCGTTTGTTTCCTGTTGTTTCTCCACTTAATAAAATGTTCAAATTTTACCCCATTCGCGGGAGGGCGGATGTTCCATCAATTTCAATACAAATGCGCGGAGCAGCTCATTCTGCTATTTAAGTTCTTTGCTTAAACGTAGGTCTTTTCAGTACAAGACAGTTATAAACGTCTATATCTATCACTTACAGATCAAATACCAGTACTTGTTAAGTGAGACAGTTAAGTAAATCGAGTAAATTAATTTTATAAATAAACCGACATTTGGAATATTATTGCTTTAACTAGCATACCTCTTAAAGTAATAGTCCGTCTTTGGAACAATAAATTCATGCTACCACAACGCATTCCTTAAAAGCCGTTGTAGAATGTCGCTGTTTTCTAACGTGTCATTTTTTAAATGTCAACATTGGTTTCGTCATGGTTGTACTACTTATTTGAACAATCTAATACAGCTTACTGGTATTTGATTAATTACACAAATGTTACTTTCCCTATCATCTACAGTATATAAAAAAAAAACCTGAATATTTTGCTGCTTTTAAAATAACTACACTAAGTTATCCCTTCAATTTGGAGGAGTGGAAGTGAGCGAGATGTGCGGTACCGTACTCGCGCGAATAAGCGCCCCGTTTGAATTTTAGCAAGTCAATAATCCAATCAATCCTGGGACTGTGGTTGTTGGCATGATTTGAGCGGTACAGTGGAAACACATTCTTCTTTAATCAATATAAAAATAAGGATATTTCTCTTGGACAGATGAGAGCTCCGATCCCTGGACAGACAGTATATTTCCAACTTTAATCTTTTTACATATTTGTCTGTCTAGTCCTACTCCTATTTTTCTTTTTTCGACCTTAAGCAAGAAAAATACAATGATCCTGCCATACTGCTAGTCTCAATCGGCCGATGGCCAACAAGCTAACCACTACCCACCACTAATTGCATCTGCTATTTTGCTGCTATGTAAATATTCAAGCATTCTTGTTATGAACCATGTTCTCTGGACGATGCGCCCGGGCGCTTATTCGCGCGAGTACGGTACAATAATAATAATAAACGGACATTTATAATGCGCGGTATCCGTCGAAGACGCTCATGGCGTATTGAAAAATCTGAGCTTAAAAGGATATATAACTACAGTATTTTCTTGAAGATTTGAATTGCGACTATCAATAACAATAATAATAAATAATAATAATGGAAAAATTAGAAGTCGGGATTCATTGAATCGTATTCAAGAGAGTGAAAACGTAAACTTTTAATGACTTAAAAGTGGAGTAGCTTTACTAAGTAAATTGTCAATTAAAGTAAAACTTGTACGTTCTAGTAACGACAAAGAATTTGTTTGAATACATGGATTGTGATATTGATATAGATGGTGTAACACTGCACGTCACCATTGTTTATCGTCCGCCTCCGTCTACTGTTAACGGCCTATTAAAGTCAACGATTTTCTTGAAGAATGGACCAGGCTATAATAACAATATAACAGCAGCTTGTAAAACTGAGATCCCACTCGCATTCACGGCCACACATTGGATGTGGTTATTGGAGATACAAATTGTATGATATCCAATATATCGGTAACAGATCCAGGTCTATCTGATGAAAATGGGAGGTTGACGTGTGATCAAAACCGCATAGCAAAACCGGGTCCGGTCTATAAGACATTGACCTACAGGAAGCTACGTGCCATTGACATTGATGCATTCAAGAGAGATGTCCAGTCATTCATTCATCGATTCATGGATAAAGGAATAAGCCTATGTATGCACTCATTTTTTCTGTATGTATACCGGTACACACATAATAGGCCTATTTAGGCCTACTGTAATAAGAATGAGAAAAAAATACCTGACCGTTTTCAAGAGGGGACAAAACCTAATTTTTAAAAGCTTAAGACACTTCAGAAGTCGGGAAAGCTCATTTCCCGCCATCTAGGAATCAAAATTTTATTTTTGGTGTGTTTTTTGGAAATATTCCCTCCTCAAGGACATAGCCAGGATTTTGAAAGGCGGGGCCCCCGTTGTGCGAGGTAGGCCTTGCATAGTACTGAGCGGGGTGGGGTTTCCCTTGCCACGGCTGGGGACGCCAAGGACTCCCGGTGGAAGTGGGGTAGCACACCCTGAACATTTAAGGACTTTTCAGAGGAGTGAAAACTGCAATAGACGCATTATAAATAATATTAGTAAGCCTAACAATAATTATAACTCAATAGTGGGGGGATGCAGGAATTCCAAAACGAGGCGACCCAGAGAGGGACTTTTACAGACTGAGGGTCCACCCACTTCAGAACCGCCTCACATCTCCTTTCAACCACATTTTCTCAACCTCCTTGGAGCAGGAAACCGACATTGCAACGGACAAGAATTCGGCGTTGGCACTACTCGCCTTTGCCAAGGGGGCCCTTGTTACTGGGACAACATCCCACTGTTTGCAGGATCCAAGGATCATGCGACAGACTCCTCTGATGGTCTGGAGTCTTGAGTTGTTTATTTTTTTTTTTTTTGGGGGGGGGGGGAGAACTGGCGGCATGCACCCCTAGATATGTCACTCGGAATAACAGAAGTATACACATATGTACTTTTGGAGATTGTCGAATTATGCCACAATACGTACATGATATGCACGCTGGGAATAGCAATGACGGTGTAAATAGAGGATGCTCTTTTGAGAACCCTTAATTGGAGGAATGGATTTGTGATTTGGGATGTGCCCTCGCAAATAATCACAAAAATGTATGCATAAACGAACACAGTAGGCGATTTTTATCTACAGGCTACATATACTGCCTGAATAAAAACAAGGTCCAAAACCACTAGTTACATATTAAGTATGCAGGTTTTATTCACATAAAAAAGCAAACATTTGTTGCCAAGTTGTTCAAACATTGATCATAAATATAAATGAATAATAAAAAAATGAACAGTGGTAGTTTGTCTACACATTAAACAGCATATCAATTAAACCAATGGTATTGTAAACTGAAGCATAATAATCACAGTTACAAACATAAACATAATGGAAGACAAGACAATAATTACAGTAACAATGAAATTCATGACTATGGGCCACATAAATTGAGTTGTTAACATTTTCAAACTACCTTACAACAAAGTCACATACAAGTGCTCAAGATGTTTTATATCAGGATGTTTTGCTGTGAAGATGTTTGAAATAATTCCAATAAAAAAAATCAATAAAATCAGTAAAATTCAAAGACCAAGAAATATCTTATATTTACAACATAAAATAAAGTATTAAAATTAATAAGCTAAATATCATGAAATTTGCAGACATTACTTATACAGATTATGCACAACAAAAATAGTATAAACTAAAAAAATATTGTATTTGAAAATTCATTAAGAGTAAATAAAATCAACCAATTTTTACAAATTCAGAAATAAAACAGAACAAAACTAATTTGTAATGCAAGAATAAAATCAAAGCTAATATATTCCTAGAGGTAGGCAATGTTGTGATAATAGGCATTAAACATGTAAACGGTGTTGTACTATTTAAAATGTTCTATTAAAAAATGCTCGAGTTGAGTGGTTTTCTTAGGTCATAGTTTGACCTTTTCCCCGGTCACAATTCCCACTCCACTGGCAACGTCATATTTGATTAAGCTTAAAATGTCTAATACATCATGAAAAATATATATCCCAATCAAAACAACCTTATATACTTTTAGTTTATACATTCTGACTACTTGTTCTTTACATAATGAAGAAAGGAATGTTATTTTCTCTTCATTTTATTAACTGTCAACCTCTACATGTGTGTGTTAACATTATGCAAATTATCATATACAATATTTAATTAATTTTAATTTATTACCAGTTGAAGATTTTCTTTGGCAATACCTTGAGCTATACAACTTTATTAGAAATTTTATTATATTACATTATGTAGATTTTTAAAATTTTACTTGAATTCATTTCAGACAGGCAGCATCAACTTTTCACTACAAATTTAAAACGTTGTCTAAATCGCATGCTCGCCTCAACTTTATAGGCAAAGTTACTGGGCACCTAAATTAACAAGATATTTTAAAGTTAATTCAGAGTAATAAGTAATCAAATAATTCAATACTTTATTATTATACAATATCCTCTCAGACAGGTACCCAACCAATATAAACTTCTCAATAACTGTACCAATTTCAATTACACAAAACTACTCATAAATTTCTCTGTTGGTACTTGTGATAGGATGACTTCAAGCACAAGTAAATACTGTTAGATATTTTAGCCAATCAAATGTCTTCACTTAATGCTTAAAATCTTTGCTGTTGTTTCTCCTCATTGGTTGGTGTCTTTAATCAAGACACTGAAATAGTGTTTATTCCATGTCAATGGTTAGATCGTCATCCAATAGGTTGTCTTTTTTTAGATAGTATGCTAAGGTATTTGGCGATGTGGTGTCGTTACTTGTTAAACTTGACACCATTTCCTTCCAAACAGAAAAGCTGATATTGGAGCTCTGAAAGAGAAATTTTAACATGAACTCATGAAGATATTATTATGTGAAGATATTATTATGTAAGCGATTGATCCCACTGAATGTTGGGCTCACGCTAACCGATCGCCAATAAGTAATTTGAATTGGCCAAAAAGAAAAGCCCAGCTGCTTTAGCCATTTTGGCGAAGGGCTAAAATCATAAAAAGTTTCAAATACTTACTCGAATACACTTTTTTTCCCCCTTTGAGCTCCATTTTTCACCAACTTCATAGTCATGCGATATTTATTTGTGCTGTATTAGTAGTCTGTTGCGTGCTTCGCAAGTTATTTATTTGTTTTTTAATGCAGTGGATGCAGGGCAGTGGCTGTACGACGACGATTAAATGAAAGTACAATCAGGCCCATTTCGATCGGGAATAATCCTTGGCAGGATATAATGTCCTGATACATAATGCTGAAAATGCAGGTTTTCTGGACACTATGGTTGAAATAGTTGGCCTCCAATAGCTCAAAAAAGTAGGCTACAGTATTTTCTTATCTCCCTGACACATTTGTTTACCAGATTTTTTTCCAGTAGCCTGACTGGGGCTCTAGTCGGCCCCTTGTTTCGGACCCCACTGTCGGACATGTTAGACCCCCTGTTGGCAAATTTTGGCTAATGATTTTTAAACAGGCAATGTATTCAGTACTGTAATGACAACTACCTAGGCCTCCAACAAGAGCAGTGGTTCCCAGTCTTTTGCATTCATGGACCCCTTTAGATATCAGACCCTAAGTCATTGTCGATACATTCCACCAATCGTATGGTACAGATACTGGGACGGATGCAGAGTGGGTGCACATGGTGAGATCACACCCCCTTGTATTAAGAAAAATAATTGCTGTATTATATTTTTTGATGATCGCACCCCTCTAAATTGTATTAAGAGAAATAATTGCTGTATTATATTGTTTATATAATTCAGTAGGATCGTGTGGTGCAGGGTGTAAGGTGTTGGACTTGTGAGATCTGGAGGCAGACGCCCGTCGCATTGCGTGTGTCCTTGGGCAAGGCACTTTACCTGCGTTTGCCTCTCTCCACCCAGGAGTATAAATGGTAGGATGGTGTGGCGTTGAATGTATTAGGTTGTGCATGTAAAGCAGCATGGCTTGGGATACTCCACAGGGAGTAGAGAAAGCTACACAAAAATGAGCTGGTTTGACCAGGAACAACAACAGTTCTTTTCAGAATAATCTACATGGTGTACCGTAAGTATTAATATATAAATATAACTGAATCATGAATAACTGAAAGTATAGCAGACCACAGCGAAACCTATTCAGATGGGAACCATAGAACTGGAATATATCTGCACAAAAAGCCATCTAGGCCTTAAATAAACAGTTTAAACTTCATATCTTCTTTCAACAACATAATTGCTGTAAGAAAATTCAGATAAATTACAAACAGTATGGATAAGAAATTACTCTTGAAACTCTTATTCAGTTTGTTGACTGATGGCTCTGGAATTAAAAGATTTAAATGACGTAAAACTCAACATCGTATATATGTCAAGGAAAAATCCTAGACAAGAATAACATGATATAAAAATAACCAAACTGTTTACAATTGAGACAATGAAAAATGAAAAACATGGTGGAAAAAACATTTACTTCTGTTTTTTTTTCAAGTCTGTATTAATGTTTTATTTACAAGGACAATTGTGACTCATCCTGAAACATCAGAAATACAATAATAATAATTACCTTTTCAAGGGCTGAGCAATCCTTGTCTTTATGGAGGTAGTGTTCTTGCCAGAAAAATAACAATTGCCTAAATGAAGTAAAACAAACAGTTCAAAATAAGTGCTGTATGAGAACAAAACACCAAAATATATCAAAGCATTGCAAGTCGAGGTTTTGTGTCCGGTATCGATACACTACTCCCCTAGTTCACAACCTTTTCTAGACGGGATCCATGTTTTAAGTCGCTACAATAGTCTGCGTTCTAAACCAGACACTTATTACTCTAGAAGTTTCTTCCGTAGTATGAATGTCTGGTCAACTACTGAGGTCTTGCCTCTTAAAAAGCTCTCTACAGCTCTTCCTAGCCAGAACCTGAAAAACAAACAAAGATAAATAAATCAAATGCATGATCTTTATTTGGAATTTAAGTATTTGCGAGAACCAACATTGTATTTAATCCTGTCTCTTATACACATCTAGATGTGTATAAGAGACAGGTCAAATTGAGACAAGCTTCGCTTCTATTTTTTATCCTAATTAGTTAATTTGAATGTTGTCCACTTTATCATTTTATGTATTTGATTAATTAATTGAATTAATGTTAATTGAATTGAATTGAATTGAACAGCAGACAACATAAAAAATATTCAGACAACATAAAAAAACAACAAAAAAAATAAAAGGTTTATTGGTTTTCACACATCACTTGTCTAGAAACAACTCGGTCAGAATTTTGTATTTCTTATATCTCCAGTCCACTTTTCAGTTTGTCCAGGGGTTGAAAATGAGTGCACACCACTGCAATAAGCAATACTGTTTTCGGGGTCAACTAATTTGAATATACATGTAATGGTATAATACAATATACTGAATGTATTTTTATGTACTGTGTGTAGATGTAGTGTACATATTTTAAGATTTGTAAAAAAAAAAATTGAAAAAAACAAATACTACAATTAATAAACACCAGCATAGGAATAACAGAACTGTGCTGACCTGAAATTATGGAGGATGAAACCAGGGCGACAGTTATTCTGTTCCTCCTCTCTGAGCATGCCCAGATAAGTGGCAAGTTCCCCTGATCGATGTGCGAACATCAGCAGAATGATTGTGGTATTCAGACAACTCACATTTTCCTGTAACAAGGGAAAACATGACAAAATAAAAAATTAAAGAGTAGGCCTAGCAATTGTATTCATTTATACGAATAATAATTTAAGCTGCACAATAATACACATTAAGCAGTCACTGACTATAGAGATTGAATATTAAATTCACTTTCATTGTTACTCACTGGCTTCCCCCCACCCCTATATTCTAGGGAGGAAACAAATATATCTTATAATTATTATCTGCAAGACAAACCCACATACATTAATTATGTTTTAACTTGCTGAATTACTTTGATAGATGGAGTCAGAAGGTCTGAAATACTGACCTATGTGCCTACTCCCACTTGTGGCCAACTAGATACTTTGCTATCATCTCTCTTGTAATTTGGAAGATTTAATGATGGAATACTACTCATTGTATAATAAACTAGAAATAAAAATTTACAGTCTACCAAAAATAGGTTAAGCCTACAAAGTATGATGCCATGTCTAGACCTGTCCTTGAAGAGAACTAAAAAGTCAACAATCTGTTTACTTGTACAGTTATTGCCAAAACAGAGAGTGCAAGAGTTGTAAAAAAAAAGAAACCTATAAGCAGTAGACACGCGGTCCCCGCTAGATGCCTATATTTTAACCTAGAGTCTACCAGACCAACTTAACATACAACTATCGAGGACAACACTGCTATTAAACTGCCTACACCATCAACAAATACATGTGATCTGCCCAGCTGCTATATATGACATGAACACGCATATATATCAATAAATCACATCTGTTGCTGATAAATTTGATAGTGTAGACAAATCTCAGAGCTTGCCAACAGTTAACGCATAACATGCATCTATTATTAGTGCATCTAAAAATAACTGACAGGATATGTGATGTCAGAAGGGGCTTCACATACACCGGAAATAACATTTGGCAATGTTTTGACTACTTTACAACTGGTTCTGTTTTCAATTTCACAAAATTCGGCCTTGCTTTATTCACAACAGAAGTGTGCGTATATATACTCGGATATAGAAATTATTTATCTGATTGTTCAATCTGTTGATGTTAATGGAATTCAACCTTTTTCTTGACAGCTTACCTGTGTAAGGATTTCTACATGAATTATGTTGATCAGCCTTTGCAGAAACCCTACTCGTGTCTTTCTGTCGTGGATGTGCATCAGGAGGCGGGATTTCGTCAGGGCAAATTCTAAGTAAACGTAAACAAAGTAATAATAATGATGTTATATGCTAAATATAATGTTAAATATTATATCATATGAGGCTGGCCATCCCAAAACCAGCGTGCTATCGCTAAAAGTGAAACTGAGTACATAGCATTAGAATGTGACAGTATTAGTAGAGTAGCCATAATAATTTTACTCATAACTTTGGAAATTTGCTTATAATGTGCAGAATATATATATTCTTGTTTGGGTCATCATTGATACTGGTTTTGGGCATGCTAAGCCCATATATGTATAAATATAATGTATATCACCATTCCTGTTATGGGCGAAAATAAGCCACATTTGTCAGAAACTGATAGTGTGGATTAAGGCATATGAAAAGAGCCCTCTGTTGTTTGAGCTTACCCAAATATTGCACATCCTCGCGTTCAATCTTCTCGAGCGTTAGCAGTAGACATCTAATGAACATGTTGGAGTCCACAAGGTTGTTGTTCACCATTGACATGAATCTAGTTAGCTGCAACCAGAAAAAAATCCATACCATATTTATTCAAATAAATACTTTACAACACATAATTCCTGTCAAAATGTGTTACGGTGTGAACATTGCCTAAATATTAAAGTCGGATAAAATAGATACAAGGCATGCCATTCCAAAATCAGCACACTGTCACTATTTTAAACCGAGTAATTAGCATTAGAATGTTGTAGTATTGTATACTTTAGTACAGAGAAGCTGTAATAATTTTGACAATATGTCAAGTTCCAGCAAATGACCCATCGTTTTAAGGTTTTTATATTGTAGAGAATATGAATATATTTAGTCAATTTTGTTGTTTTGGCCATTGATGGTGGCTTTAGGATGGCATGCCCCATATAACTATTGCACATACTGTCAATGGTGTAAAATTTTTTGTTTTGTATCCTCAGATACAAAACAATTTTACACCAATTAGTTACCACACTAGTGATATATAAACACAGTGGTTACTGCAGTAATACATGATATAGTACTGGGAGAGAGGAAATAATAGGTGCTTGGGAGTTTCTATTGCAGCCTTCATACAAGGCTCTCCACACCCGAGTCAAGTGAATGTAGGAAGAGGAAAGTGGCTGGAACTAAAATAATGCTGAATGGCCCACAAGCGGTTTTAATTCATTCCACTTACCCCGTCATCTGATGTACATCTCTCGAATCGTTCAAAGGCTTTGTGGTTGAATTTCATTAACTCTGCTAAAAGGTCAAAGCTGCTCTGTAAAATTTCCTTTGATTTAATATCGTTATCTATCATATGACGTACTAAATGCTGAAACAAAGGGGAAAAAAAATAATAGAATTATGCATGCTAAGTATACACTGTTCATATTGACCATACATTATATTAATCTTTAACCCTTAGCCTTCGGGCGGCGACCAGAGGTGCTAAGGACAATAGTCTACTGCACTGAGGGGCATCTATCATTAAGAAACTATGTTTCAGAGCCCTTTTCTTAATATCTATAGCGAGCGAATTCTACAACTGTTCATCAATAGAGCCTAGACAATGCGCCAACAATTTATGTTCTTTCCAGGGAAGGTTATTAAATCTTTTCTTGACTAAAATACACTAGGCCTGGACGAGCAATTGAACTGCATAATAGTGTTAGAAATTCCACCATACCTCTAGAAGTTTCTTCCGTAGTATGAATGTCTGGTCAACTACTGAGGTCTTGCCTCTTAAAAAGCTCTCTACAGCTCTTCCTAGCCAGAACCTGAAAAACAAACAAAGATAAATAAATCAAATGCATGATCTTTATTTGGAATTTAAGTATTTGCGAGAACCAACATTGTATTTAATCATTTCATCACCAATTAATATGATTATCACATATTCAATGGCAAGAGCTCTCTGAGACATTTGGATAAGGCTTCATCTGGTCCTGCCTCCCTGGGGGCTGCATCTGGATAGAACCCATGGGGTACAGGGATAAGTCCTACCTGCTTCGGCATATTTTGATGGGTTTTTTACGTTCTGCTCCTTAAAAGACATTGCTTAGCTGATATGTGGTTAAAAATTATAAATACTTCATAGGGCCCCTTAGGGTCTAGGCCCCTGGCTTTAGTGAGAGCTCCTACCTATTACGCCAATGCATATATTTACACCAAAACACAATCACCAGCTTTGAACTCTAAATTTATCACAATTTCAAATTATTGTAGTAATTACTATAATGAATTCTAGCGTGGGGTACTGTACTCGCGCGAATAAGTGGCCCATTTGAATAAGCAAACCTCCTTAATTTGAATAAGTGCCCCTAAATTTTTTTTTTTAGCAAGCCAATAATCCAATCAATCATGGAACTGTGGTTGGCATGATTTGAGCTGAGGAGTGGATTCACAATTTCTTTTTATGTCAATTTCAAAATGAGGATATTTCTCCTGGACAGAAGAGAGCTCCTTGGACAGTGTCTTTCCAACTTTCCTCTTCTTACATTTGTCTAGTCCTACTTCTCTTTTTCTTTTCCAGACAATTGTACTTTTAGCACGTTCTCATCTCACCCTGCATTGATACTGCTACTCTCATTCAGCTGGCGAACAAGCTTCATCTGGTTTTGTGTAAATAAATTTACTCACAGCATTCTTGTCATGAGCCATGCCCTCTGGATGATTTTCTTTTCTGCAACCATTCGTTTTATCTTCCATTTGCAATGTCCTTATTTAATCATTTTTCATTCAAAAAGCACCCACAATTTCAAATCTCAATAGGCGTACCGTTTGAAGAAAAACCCCTCAAAAAGTGCAAAAAAATTATTTAAGCGCCGGGTGATTATTAGGGTAAGATAATAAAAGACTTGTAACATACATTATTAAAAAACTATTAAACATTAAAAACACAAAAACACAATTGTTTAATCACCTAAAGTTGGACTCTGTAGATGCCCTTTTCATTGCCTCTATCACCTTGGTTAACAGTCCTTTCTTCCCTGTACATAGCAATGACTTGTTTATGTTCTTGACTTCATCTGCCACTGGTACGCCAATGCTGCATGATAACTTTGTGATTTCATGAATCTCTGATCGAGTCATTATCAAGTATTTGTTACTGTAAAGGCAAGAAATTTTATATTAGAACAATTTGGTTTTCTAAGTGACAGTTTATTTTTGTGAAAAAGCGTACAAAGTGAAATGTGCTATAGTGAAACTACTGATACTGGACAAAAGAAAGAGCTCAAAAACACCCAGAAAATATGAAAAAAATGGCACAAAAAAACCCTGCATTGCATAAATCAATAACAAAATTGTTATCCTTAAAAGTTTAATTATTTTGTTAAAAAAACATGCCATACATATCCACCAACTCTGCTGATGTATAGCCAATAATACAAATTATATTTAATATTTTTTTGTTCAATTTGAAGGGGTTTGTGAATGTAAAAAAAAAATATATTCTGTACATTGCAGCTTCAACTAAGCTATACAAGGGCTGTAAGTTTGGATCCCAACACTTGTACCATACAAAACATACCACAAACAAGGACAGGGCTTAACACGTTGACTACCAGACATTATTTTAAGGTTCCTTCCTGTACAAACATACTTTTTTGGAACTTTACCTAGTCATATATCATCAAAATCATGTGTAATAAATTGGCGGAAGTATTAAAGGAAGATTTGTAAACTCGTCGACGGCACTGTGATAGCACTTTTTATTGACTACGCCAAGTGCGATTTACTTGTCCGCTTTTTGCATGGGTTGGGCGCCCCAACTTGTGCCGCTCGAGTGTACTACCGGCAACATAACACATTTTGTACGTTATCGTCTAGGTGTATCTTCCCTGAACTACCAGCCGTTCAGTCTGGTTGTACAATGTATAGCAAAGAAGTTAAAAACGCTAGAATGTTACCCGGATTTTGACGAGTATACTTGTCCCAGGTGTCCTCAGCAACACCCTGTGGGCGAGTACACTCGTCGCAGGCAGCAAACGTGTTAATATCTATGTTACGACTGCTACAACTTACTGATGATGGTCACAATAGGTGTGTATAAGGCGTAAGAACTGAATCTTGAGCGCTACTTCTGGACTGCATTCGCAGTTCTCAGAATGCCTGGCATGAGGGTACGGCCGCAAGTTGCACCGCCAGATGACACGGTCAAATAGACGGTTCAATCCTGGCATAAGTTTGTGTGTGGATACCTCTCCGTGAACCTAAAAAAGGATAATGTAATGAATATTCATATATTACTGATACAAATGGTATGATTCAACATAAATTCAACAAATTTTTAGTTTTTGGTTGAGAGAGCCGAAACACTTTACATTTTAAAGATTAAGATGCACATAAAACAAAAAAACTCTGAAAGTTGTTAAAATTAAAAATAAAACTCGAAACCTATGTATGTTAGAGATCGTCCAGGTTTTTCATCATTTACTTTTCCTCCCAATAAAGAATACATGAAATGATTGCTATCATTTTTTTCATTTCAATTTGAATAAAAGAGTTATTGTTGTGAAAATGATGAAAAACAAAAAAATGACATTACAACATTACAAAAAAAAAAAATATGAAAGAATAGAAAGTTATAAACACAATAAACAAACTCACCCTATTCCTTTGCTTTCCACTAAGTAGCAGGCATAGTACATATAATACCTCCACCTTATAAACAAGTTCATGCATGGTCTTGATGGACTGAGGCAACGCAAGCGACTGAAAATCCATAAACGGGTCCATCATGGCACCCTCTGTCTCGCTGTCAACATCCATGAGGGGGTCGAACGCTAGTGAACTGTCTAACCATGTCACCCATCCTTCAAGCTCACTGAATACCTCGGGTAATGTGGGTGCCACTGAACCACCTAAGCGAAGAGTAATAAATGTTGGTATTACTGTAGGCTTTGTCCAGACTATAAAATTTTCTTAATAAAATGTAGTATGCCCATATATAGTCATGATGTGCTAATATGTGGACATGATGTGATGTCATCATAACCATATTTACGAAGAGTAATAAATGTTGGTATTACTGTAGGCTTTTCCAGATTATCAAATTTTCCTTGACAAAAAAAATGTAGAATGCCCATATATAGTCATGATGTGCCAAATATGGTCATGATGTGATGTCATCATGACCATATTTAGGAATGTCACATGTTTTGTCTGGACAGGGCCTTATTCAAGTTTGTATTACAGTTAGCAGCATGTGTAAGAAAAAAATACAAAATACAAAATGACTACATTATAACATAGGTTCTCGGGTATAAGCCCATCACCTTTGAACACTAACTTGGGCCAATTTTGGGACGAGTCTGCAGGCTTAGGCTCGTCCCTAGGTTTGACAGGTTCATTATTATAGGCCTATAATTTCAAAAAATAATTATAATATTTACCCACATAAGGTCAAAAAAATAATTGTAGGCTAAGCAGAATTCAAAAACTGTATGAAAAAATGTTTATATTAGAAAACCCATACGGTCATAATCCGAAGCAACCTTTATTACATCAGCGCGTATCGCGGTAAGTATGCAGCCATTTTGTTTTGTCGAGTACCAGTTTTCCATTCATATGATTGTCTTCGTTAAGAAGGATTTTTACCACTGCGCAAGTGGGTGTGATTTAACGAAGAACAGCCAGTTGAATATGGCCTTTGCGATTGTGAATAGAGTGCTTTTACTCAAAGTAAGCTTCATGCTTGAAGTACGTAGTTTACAGCATTATAGAAACCGAAAGGTCCACTGATTAATCTCAGATGAGATAGTATAATACATATTCCGTGTATCAAAATGCACGCCATTAATTATGTCATCATCAGTAATGAAAAATTATCCATATTTGCAAGCTTATATGCACAAGTACCAAAAGTGTTTGACCAATCAAAACATTACCCCTAGTAGGTGACATAGTTATGAATAAACTAAAGATCAAAGCATTCTTACCCAACTGATCAAAGCTACCTACAAGAACAAAGAAAGCTCCTTTGAAACTTTCAGCCCATAGTTAAGCAATGGGTGTAGCCTACGTATAGCAAACGCTTCTTTAAACAATAGTATAGACCAATTTTGTGAACTGTCAATAATATTAGTATTAGATAATATTAGACCTAATTTATTACTTACAATACAGGCTACATTATCATTTTCAAGTATACCTTGTAAACCTAAAACATATTGGAATGCCTCACAATTTTGTATATGATCATTTATAACACTATCAGATCGTGAAGAATGTTCTTTGAAGTCTAGTTATTAAGCATCTATCTGTCTTATCAATATAATCACTATTACAACCTGGACATTTAAAATGATAAACAACAGAGCTCCTATATTCTTTAGGAGTTTGATCTTTAGTAGATGTAAAGTGAGACTTTTTGTACTGCCATAATGCTATGAATTTTACTTCTTTAACTAAGTGTTTCTTTACTTTGTTTAAGTATCTACGTAAAATGGATTCACTTGCCTTTTCTAGATAAGGCAATCTAACCCAAATCTTAATCAAGCTATCATCAGTAGGCCTTTTATCTATTTAGGTTCATTTAATTTAGAGTACATGGTTAACAAAATGACTACATAATAACAGTTTCTCAACCCATCACCTTTGAACACTAACTTGGGCCAATTTTGGGGTAAGTCTGCAGGCCTAGGCTTGTCCCTAGGGTTAACAGGTTCAGACAACAGCTTGGATCTTAACACATATTGAATTTCAAATCTCTAAAGTTAGAAGGTTGGTTTGTAACAGGAGCATTTGGGTTTATACCTGAGACTGATTCATATAAACTGTAAAACTGTTTATTACTCACCTATTTCTTTTACAGCTATACGGACAATTTTCTTAATAAAATGAGGAAGCTCAATCAGTATTCCTGCAAAAAAAAAGGTTTAAAAAAAATAACTTGCATCATATAGGATGACCATAGATATTGGATCATTTTATACAACACTTACTAAGTTCCCTGTAGAGTATTTCATAAAGTTGAGTACATTAGCATTACCACACACTCTTCTCTTACATGCAGGTTACTTTCTTTTCACGAGTGCAAATCAAACTTGATAATGATCAATAGACAGGATCAAGGATGGGCTTGTCTCACAAACATGTGTTGTTGCACAAACATGTGTTTATGTACATATTTTGTTACTTTGTGGGAAATTTGCAACAACATGAAAGGGGTTTAGTTTAGTGTAAAGGTCCATTACACGGCAGCTGAAGAATTTTATATGAGAATTTTTCTGATTAAAGTTAGATGTATACGCCTACCTAGAAGTCGACTTCAACGTATAGACACGCCTAAGTAAGGTTCCATAGACGAGACTATGATGGGCTACATGTATTAGTCTAAACACAGTAATTTTGGTTATACGTCTTAGTTTCAAGTTCATGGTTTAAAGGGTTAAATGTAGGGTGCAATAGCGGAAAATCACACCCACCTTGATTCGTTTCTGAGACAGGTACGCCAGTTTTCCTGCGAATGGCCTGGTCCTGCTCTTGAAGAGTGTTGCCATCATCGCCTGGGTCAAGATCTGACATTGCAATTGAAAGCACGCGACAGAAATTGGCCATCTGTTCCTCATCAAAACTCTCTACTAATTTGTGTAAATTTGCTGCATGTAGAAAAAGAGAAAAAGGAAGGATTGTACAGGAACTATTTGAAAACTATTATGCAATATTAAAAGTCATATTCCTGTTACAAAAACTAAGTATTTACAAGCAGTTGGCAGTGTTTGTTTTTTTTAGTTTATTTTAATTCACTTCCATCCTGACGAGAAAACGAAAAGAATACCACACAAAATCTAACCAGGTACTTACGTATTTTTTCTAACTTAAACATAGTCTTGCGTACACCAAGTACATCTTCCAACAAGGTGGCGGCTCGTAGAAAACAAGTCTTCTCCGCCATTAGAGAGAATAGGTAAAAGATTAAGTCGTCCTGCTTAGATAATGGTATTGCTATTTCGATGTGAAGCTGAAGAAATTAAAATAGATGGAAGTTATTTGACATTGTTCAATGGAGGGTAATCTTTAAAAACCAAATAAAATAAACAACAAATTAATGTATTCAAAATTTTTTTTTTTTTTGTTCTGTTTTCAGATTTCTTAGAACTAAACCCACTAAGGATAAGACCACCACCAAGACTTTAATTATTATTTTTGGTGGAAATGTTCCATAAATGGACCAATATCACACAGGACCAATAGCTTAAGGCTCTTTCAAAAGATGGCATGCTATTGTAATTGGCATTTCAGCCCTTCAACACAAGACTTGGAATTGAACCACTGACCAATGGGCTAAAAGAATTCCCATTGTTCAGCACACACACCTTGATGAGTCAAGGCTATATTAAAAGTGACATTACAATAGTAACAAAACAATAATTTAATTACAACTGGTTTTACTAACTAAAGTGAACTTAGATACTGTTTTGGGAATTAGAAAAATGTAATTTGCCTCAAAAAAAACCTTTTAAAACTATGAGCATGTATTCCCAAAATACTTGTGGTTATAAAACCCTGTCTACCACATTATTTATTCACACACACACTTCTCCTTACAGAGGGAAGTACAGTCATTTACAAACAAGAAAGTGGAAGTTTTACACAACTTTTCATCTGAACAAAAACTCAAAAAGGAACTACTTTCATCTAATCACATTTACTGTCTTCCCAATATTTAAATTTAGCAATGCATATATCGATAATGGTTTAAACAGATATCTCTAAATATTTCATCTATAAAAATACTACTGTATTTTGATTTTTATGTTCATGTACCGACATCGATATTTTGCCACTTACAGAAAGGTTAAACACATTTTATGAATCTAATTATATTTATTTTGATCCTATGTAACATTTCATACTCATTTTTCATCACAGAGGCCATCAAGAACATAACATTGGTGTGACTAGAAAAAGCTTTGGATTGCGATATAATAATAGTAATAAATAATAATTCTGGATTTATATAGCGCCTCACGTTGACACAACCTCGAGGCGCTTAACAACAACAGAACAGAAAAAAAAAAATTAATTAAGTTCAAATGATTGGTTTGATGATTATCAATAAATGTTATTATTACAATGCTTTGGTAAATTGGAATCATTTCAAGGCCTTTTACTTTCCTATTCATCCCAAATCCTTTCATTTTTCTTTCCCTTTTGCTTCTTGTCTTTCTTCCTTTCCACTTCAAATGTAAATTTCAGGGCATAGTAACTTTCCTGTCTCTTATACACATCTAGATGTGTATAAGAGACAGGTACTGTAATGTCACTAGTGTTTGGTTTATTTTATTTCATTTTTACATTTCATTTCT